TACCGTGATGTATTTTTGAGGGCCTGGATCCTGGGTCTCTTATTTTTTTACCCATGTTGGATTCCCAGCTATGCTGCCAAAAAAGGGTTGAAAATGAACAGGGAGACGGTATCAGTGCAGACAGTCTTCCCCTACCTGGTTCCTGCCTGCTCATTTGGGTAAATGAACTGTGTGTGATCCTCTACTGATCTTACTATATTCTGCAAAGAAGTATTTTTTACCCACAACTACTTATATCATGTTTAGTTACTGGGTGGCAATCTCCAATATTATATGTTATCCCTGATATGGATAGGCAAGTCTGCATACAGAGCAGAGTAAATAGTCTACTCAGCACAGTCTCCTGCAGCCCTCTGATAAAAGGAAATGTAAGCAGAGGTGCACCTTGACCAGCTGGAGGTATGAAATGTGTTTTCAGGAGCTCAGGTTGCAGCCTGTGTAAGAGGTTTTCTTGTGTAGTGGTTAGATCAAGCGTCAGTGGCTGCTGTTCATTGGTGCATGTGGAATTAAAGGCAGTGACAGGTTAAAAAGGAAGAAGGAAACACATGGGACAGAGCAAGGAACTGGTTGATGTTATCACTCGGCTGCAAACAGCAGGGCAGGGGAGGGAGGGCTGCTTGTCCCAGTTAATCCAGCCTGTTGCAGATTCAAAGTGGCTCCTCTTCCCTTTTAACTCCAGTTCCCAGAGCAGTGAAACAAGGAAAAAAAAAAAAGTAGAAGAGATCTGGAGGTGGGCAAGGCAAATTAAGTACAGTAATGGAAGAGTGTCCTAGAGAGAGCAAGGAGAGTAAACTGTAAAATATGTTCTTACTCAAAACATGGTTAGTTTTGCACCCTGAACAGCAATTCCCTGTTTCTTCCAAAACAAGTTTAGTAGCATTCATGTTAGGGGTGGTATCACCTTCTGTTTTCTCCATACTTACCTGCATTAGAATACACAAAACGCAGCAGCAGCTAATGTTTCAAACCTGAATCCAGCCAAACAAACACAGCCTTAAACTGAGGCACATCGTTAGTCCCACCAAAGTCAACAAGCTATGGATTTGATTAAAATTTAACAGGTACATGAAAGCTTTGCTAGACTGTGATCTCCCAGTTGCTTTTACTTGCTAATTCCCCAAAGTGTTGAACAAATGGTGTACCCTATCCTTCTCCCAGGCTAAGTCTGCCTGCCAAGCTGTTGTCTTCAGCCTGGGAGAATCCAAGCACACCCATCCGTGCACACGTCATTGCTGAAACATGCCCTTGCCTGGGACCCTGTGTGGGTTACTGCCTTCTCACATCCTGCTTATCCCAGCTGAAATGAGCCAGGGTTTGGCCTCAAGCATATAATGAAGGCCTATTTTGGTTTAAATACTGTGGCTTCTAAGCCAGCTCACTTTGAGTGATTGTGGAATCAAAGAATCATAGAATGATTTGGGTTGGAAGGGACCTCAAAGATCATCTACTCTGACCCTGCTGGCACAGGCAGGGACAGCTTCTACTAGACCAAGTTGCTCAAAGCCCCATCCAGCCTGGCCTTGAACACTTCCAAGGATGGGATAGTCACAACTTCCCTGGGCAAACTGTTCCAGTGACTCACAGGAAGGAACTTCTTTAATTGAAATTTACCCCCCTCTTTCAGTTTAATGCCATTCCCCCTTGTCCTATCACTACATGCACTCATAAAAAGTCCCTCTCAGCTTTCTTGTAGTCCCCCTTTAGGTACTAGAAGGCTGCTGTGAGAAGTCCCTGGAGCCTTCTTTTCTCCAGGCTGAACATCCCAACTCTTTCAGCCTGCCTTCATAGCAGAGGTGCTCCAGCCCTCTGATCATCTTTGTAGCCCTCCTCTGGCCTTGCTCCAATAGGTCCATGTCCTTCTTATGTTGGATGATGGAGGTCAAGGAGTCTGCACTGAGCCAAAGGTTTAGGAGGGTGGTAACTTCTGTCTTGGCAATGATGCTGGAGATGGTAGCCTCTCCATCCGGCACATGTAAGCCCCAGGGGAGTGGCATGTTAGCGGCCAGGAAGAAAACATCTTGGTAAAGCTGTAATGTTATTTTCATCCTATAGTTAAGGGAATAATCCACAGACCATTCTTTTTCTTGGGCAGAGAATACACTCACTTGGCTTTGTATTCACTTTGTGTCACAAATTGACAGTGACTCCGAGAACAGGAAGATTAGGTGTGGGTGCCTCTTCTGCAGGTGTAAATGTAGGCAGAGTCTCTGTTGCCAGAAGCCTCCTCTCTGGAGTCAAGCCATGAAGTACAGTCATTATTTCTGTTCCTCCAAGATATTTAATGCTCACATGTACTTGAAGAAAGGAATATTTCCCAACCACAGGAAAATTACTGTAGGTGTGGACTGAAGCTGTAAGTTCCATTCATTCACAAGGCAGCCTGTACAAAACGAAGCAGGTTGTACAGTTCCCTTAAGCTATATATGTCCTGGGCTTCAAAGCACGTACAGGAAACATACCTACAAAAATACAAGGATTTCTGAAGCCTCAGGTTAAAAAGTGTATTACATGGCTTATTGACTTGGTGTATTATGCTCAGTCTAGCAATTTTGTACCATACTATGCAATTAAAAATGGCGAGATGCTAGGGGAAATTTAAACTGTCCTTCTCAAAGAAATACCCACATCACGACACAGAGCTGGCTTTGGGCATAGGCAAAGTAGGGAAGAAGATTTCTGGGAAGGCAAGTCTGCCATAGTTTAGCAGTGTATATTCCACAGCCTTGAAAATTCCTTTAACGTGGGCTGAATTCTGGATGCTTTTGTTAGGGTAAATTAATCCAGTCTTATGGTAGGTGCCTTATGTACTTGTCTCCAGTTACTGCACACAGAGCTGGGGCCTGGCAGTCTGGGCAAAATTCTCACCCCTCCACTGAACGTGGGCACTGTGGGTTGCTCTGCCTATGCATGTCTTAGAGTGGGTGTGGAAAAAGGCTCTTGTGGGTGTGAGGATGTGGAAAGCCTTTTTTTGTAACTTTTTCAAGTAAGCAATCAAACAGAAAAAAAACCTCTGTGCATTGTGGTTTATTCCGAAACTGCTGAGAAAATCTGGATTGTTTCTGTCTTTGGCTACTAAACTTTATTAATGTAGCCAAGCAGAAGAAAATGCAGCAGTAAAGTGTTTTAAAAGCACTGTTCTCTTTCTCTCTGTTATTTTCCAAACTACTTTCTTCCTTTCTGACTGTACTACTCATTAGACTGTATTTCAAAGACCACTAATCAGGCTAAGTGCCCATGGCTTGCTGGGAGAGATGTGGTTTAGGAAGCATACAGCGCACAACCCCATTTTAGCAGTGAGATGAGGTGGGGCATTCCAGGGGTAAGCACTTCCAGGACTTCTAGATGGAAAAAATGCATGCATTTCCTGAAATGCTGATTGCAGCGCACTTGCACAAGGCTTTCTGGAAGGCAAGAATGCAAGCCTGGAACTGCTATTCATCTTTCACAGCTCTTACTTCTCAAATCAGACAGTGTAAGTATTAGATATGGGATTAAAGAAAGAGCAATGGGGAGTACAGACCTAACTTTGGCCATCAACCCCATGTTCTCTGACCTCATTGCGGCTGCCTGCTGCTGTACCGTCATTCATTCAGCCCCTTCAGTTCCCTGTACCAGCAGGTGCTAGTCCAAGATGAAAAGAAATCACAAGAAGTATACCTTTTCTGCACTTACTAGAAACATGGAGAGGTATCAGGTCTGTAAAGAAATGTGAATAAAGACAGATTTTTTAGCTTTCTTCCTGCAACTTATATCGTGATTCAAGGTATTTTAGAGAAGCACACACAGAGAAAAGGATGACCTTCATCCAGACACCACTCAGTCCTTTGCTTGCAGAAACAAATGGAACAAGGGGTTGCTTGTTGGTAGTTGTTTGCTTATCCAGTCACTGTCAAGACCTGTTTGGATTGCCCTATCCTATTGAAGTAGCCGTGTGTTTGCAGGGCAAAATAGTATTAAACTTTAGCACTTCTAGAGTGCTTAGCATTCACCAGGACTTCACAAATATGAACTGAACTACAGCCATAACACTGATATGTGAAGTAGTGAGCTGACACCAAGGTAAGATAGCAAACGCTGCCTTCCCCGTCCTACAGATTGATCACACAGCCTCACTCAGACCGACCATGTCAAAACAAGTTTCCATGATCGTAAATCTGGACAGTGGTCCGAATGTAGTGCAATGATTTTATTTATGTTTTGGGTTGGTTGTTTTTTTAATTTTTTTTAACAGTCCATTTGGAGAAACAGCAGAAACATCACTTTCTGTGGGCAAAATGACCTTGAAAAACAGGAGCCTGGCAGTGGCAGAGGAATATGCCTCTCAAAGAACTTGCAGGAACAAATCAACCACAAATGAAATAGAACTGAAAAGCAGGGAGGATGATAAGGGTAGACTTATACCAAAAGATATATGGACACAGTAACCTCCGTGTGCTGCAGATGGGGCTCTGCAAAGTTCCGCAGTGACCACATCTGTCATCACCCAGTTCTTCCAGGGTATTACCTGAGAGCCCAGCTGCTCAATGTGATTGTCTTAGGACAGGGGCAGTGGTAGCCCTGAAGACTGTGATGGGGTAGAGAAACTGTCCCCATGTATGACAGAGACTGTATCATCTGATATGGGTAAATACCCTCTGGAGGGTGTTACCTGGGGCAAACAATGTAAGGTAGATTCTTCAGCCCTCCCTCAGTCAATTCACATCTGCAGAATAAGCAAGATGCTTATTCTACCCTGGTAATGTGTTATTTAAGTGCATTGGAAAGATGTCTCAGTATTAAACTACATAGTTGTAAAGTTGAAAACTGGCAGCTATCTCAGGTCACATGTTTCTGTTTTCATGACCTAATTCATAGTAGTTATGCCTATGAATGACCTGTCAAAATATGTAAAAGGAGAGACAACTAGCTTAAATTCTGTGTCTTATTACTGGTTACAATAACTATTTGATCATTGTCTTTAAATTGAATATTTATTAAAGGCTTCTTCTTTCCTTAATTTTAAGGGTCTTCTATTTTCAAAGCTTTGCTGTAAGACCTTTTGACTAAGGTATCTCCAGTAGCTCTGAGGTAAGCACTTTGGATGCAGAACAAGGTTGATGTTAATATTACTGAAGTGCAGACTTAAAGTTGTTCTCCCCATTTCTATAATACTGAACTCTGCTGCAAGAAAAGCAAAACTTTATATTTCTAAGCATACGAAAAGGTATGCTGTTCAGTAAAACAAGCTGCCTATCAATCACACAAACTGGAAGCAGAACATCTGCACTTTGCTATGATGGAGGCTTAATCTGACTCCACTAAGAATGTCTAACTAAGACTTCTTTAGCTTACTTGTTTGCACCGCAAATGGAATATTTTTGTGTCAACTCAATTAAGCTTTCTGTAAGTAAACGCAGGACATCAAGTAGTCATCAGGATCTGGTAGACACTAAGTCCCATGCCAGGCTCCTTGTGAAATTAATTACCAGTTCCTTAGGACTTTCCAGACAGGAGTTTGCTTCTGTTTTCTCTCATAGCAAGGCTGGACTGATAGGAAGTGAACAAGCAATAGCTTTTTATCTAAATCTCTGAGCTGTTGCGCTGGCATGCAAGGGAATAGTCTTTGCTCAAATCAAACAAGCAGGCCAATTAAACTGGTAGATTTTCCTCTTTAGAAAAGCTGTTCCCATACCTCTTTCTCTAAGTCACAAGGCTGTAACCTAAATGAGATAAGACTGGCTCCTCAGTGGGTTTGCCTTTCCTGTTGAGATATTGATATGTTCCTGCTGCAAAAGCATGGGAAACCAGGTCATTTTTTAGCTAATTTTTGTCTTTGGCAGTTAAGACCTTCTCATGTAAGGTCACTTCACTTGACTTGCTGGAGCATGCAATAGCTCCCTGATAATTTTTGTGAAGGAAATAGAGTTCTCTGATAACATGAGCTGTATCGTAAGATTTAACACTACGCTTAAAAACCTAATCCTCAAGTTAAGTGATTATGTGGAAATCTCAGCTCATTAAAGTAATAAATATTAGCTTTGTCAGATGTCAGTGCTGTGGAGGAAGGCTTGAAAATGAATACTGAAAACCGCACAAGCCATGAAATTAACACAAATAATTCAGACTATCTAATATATATATTTTAAAAAATATAAAACATCAGACCCAAATTTCCATAATAACAATGCATGCCATATTTTCTTTGTGTGTGCTTTCATTTTTAAAGAAACCTCTGAAAAGCCATTGATGCCTGTGCCTAAAAACATTAAACACTTTTCTGTTAATTGCAGACTAGTAGGAGTATCACACTCTTTCTTACATTGGTATTGCTAGTGTTTATAAAGGGGTGAGGTGTTGCACTTTGGAAAGACAAGCATGAACCAAAATAAAGTCCTATTTTCTTTTTTACTTTTACACTTAAAAAAAACAGTTTAATTTCTGGATTTAGTTAGACTTTGTTCTCAAAACATTCATGGGCACTTTAATCTCTGCCCAAATCCTTTCTTATCCTGCAAAGGCCTTTTGCAATTTAAGACTTTTTCCACTTTTGAAAAGCATTTATTCTTGTTCTGCATGGATACTTATTTTAGGTGGACATGGGAATGTCTTTCTAGCTCTGTGTCTTTTTACAGGGAAGCCTAGATGAGGGGAGAGCAACTCTAATAAGAGGCAGTACAGACACATCTGGGTTGAGCACAGCTTTTTTGGCAGCTACTCCTGCACCCTTTTGCCAGTTTACCTGGTGGAGATTCTGCCTTCAGTTTCAGATCCTTATCCACATAGAGAAGTATGACTGCAGAAATTACCTACCTCTCACCAGAATTTATTATAAAGCTTTTCCCCTACACTACAATTTTTTCCAGTTCTTACCTGACTTGGCTCTGCAAATTTTAACATGTTTCCCTTTTGTTTCCTCCAGCCCTCTCCCCCAGCACTTTTCACACATTTAACATCACCCAGCAGTAGCTGTCATCACAGTTCAACGGGACCATTATGAGGCTTAATTTACGGTGGCCAAACTGGCTTCTCTGTGACTCACATAGCCTTAGGAGCTCACATTTTCTGGTACCTGGGATAAATGGGAAAGGAGGGGAAATCTTTCAGTGGTGTCAAACTGCTGGGTAGTAACTTAGCAGGTTATTTGTGTTTAAGAGGTCTGATATATGTATTGACAGCTATCTTGGGCAACTTGTACCTTGAGAAAAATGCCCCTCAGGGCTGCTTTGAGAACCACCTATATATAGAAGGACTCCAAATATAAGAGCAGTTATTAAATTCATTCTGCATGGGCATCATACCAAGAAGTTTTGTTTTACAGCAGTGCTACCTCCAACAGTAGCTGACAACAGAAGACCATCAGGGATTGAAAGCCATATCACAAGGCTCGGAATAAGACTAATGAAAAATGGCATACGGTTGTCTGGGGAGGACCTTTCACACTCTCCTAAAATTCTGTAAAATTTGAACATAAATAATATGAAGTCAACATCATTGACCTTCTGAGACAGAAAGCCACACTAGTGATGCTAATCTATTCTAAGGATTTCCTCTTCTTTTCATCCCTTTCCCTTTGATCTTGCATAACGAAATCTATTCTAGGCAAGTCTCAATTACCTTTAATGGGTGTCTTAGGTGATGCTAGTGGCAACCTTGTAAAAAAGTACTTTGAGAATTCAAGAGAGCAGTCAATTTTAGTAATGAACTGTAATATATTTAAAGATCAGTAAAATATCTGTGCTGAAAACCTGCTGTGGTTTGTAGTGGAAATACAACAGAAATCCTGTTATCTCCTACTTAGTTGTGCATATGCTGTCCCCACAACAGGCCAACGCATCTACTGAGCTCTTTGAAAGCAAAACATTGGACTTCTGCCTGGATTTTCCATCCCTGAAAAAGGCAGACTGTGTCAAGGTAAATTTGTCAGGGCCAGCTTGAAATAACATCAGGAAAAAGTCTTTTCCACAGAATTTTTGCTCTTAAGGTCTGCAGGCAGCCTCTCATGACATCCCTTAGGTCCCATCTACCTCTCTCCTCCAGCGATTCTTTCTAAGAAGGTCTTTTGCCACACTTGCTTCTTCAACTTAGAAGTGTTACCTGGGCATAATATGAGGATTTCCTCTTTTGTCCAATGGCTTCTGGCTTTCCCAGCATCCAGAAACCATCGAGGAGGAAGGTTGCTCTTCAGCACACATTCGAAAGTCTGATTCTTTGGGAGTATGGAGCACTTGATTTTAGTCCACAGACTTCATAGGTGATCTGTGTTTCTGCTATGCTTGACATGCTCAGAATGATGCCTCACTTACAATGCAGAATCAACACATGCGCAGTAGGTTTGATACTTCCCAGATGGGTTAAGTCCATTAGGTATATACTGCACTGAAGCCTGCAAAAATATTTCTGTCAAGAAAATCCATCTGTCACAGCAGGCCCTGAAATGACCTTCCCAAGAGTCAGTGTCTAAAAATGAATTAAATTTTCACTACCTTTCTAAAAGGCCATATGAAGCCAGGAGACCAAACCCTGAAAAGAACTCAAACTCAGTCCCAAACGAGTCATCACTCTCCTTCCAGTGGTTATTTGTTTATAGCAAGTAACGGTGGAGCAGTAACTGTGGTCTCTTCCCTGTCATACACCCAGCTCTGCCATAGAGTGATCATGTTGCCACGCTGGAAAAAAAGCTGGGGGGAGAGTGTGTCTTTTATTTTCTTTTTCAAGGACAGTCTTCTGGGACATAAAATAGTATTCCTTGCATGTATTATCAAAAATGACACAGTTCACAAGAGTCACCAACCACATTTTTTGCCAGCAGCCTGCCAATTGTTTCTAATTTGGAGAGCAGCCATAAATGTTTCAACTACTGGACCTGTTTCAAATTTTTATGCTCCAGCCCTGTCAATTTTATAGATTTTATGGGCAATGAAAATACCTGACAGGCTCGGGACTGAATACTGACTTTGCCGTATCCCAGTTTATTCGTATTGTGCCCTCACAAAGAGTGCCAAGGATTAGAATATCAAGAGCTGTATAGTTTTATTCCCTTCAACTCTCAATAGTCCTGTCAAACCCTATAAACTGACAGGCTCACACCGTTCATTCCTTCATCATCATTTCACAGAGTTGAGGCTAAAGCTCCCCTAACACTGTGGCACCTCTCTTGCTCTGTGGTCCAATGTGCTCTACAAAGGTGGCTAGCTTGGCCAGAATGCTAGCTGCAGAGGAACATCACAGGGATGCACTGGCACCAGGGGGGTGCCACATTTGAGCTACCCCTGCCAGAAAGCATATTCCCAGCCTGGCCCTACAGTCCCTCCCTGCCATCCAACACCTCACAGGTCAGAAGCGAAGTTACCCAAGATAGCCGCCAGGCTTCATCACCAATAGTCAACACAGTAGGTAATACTAGCACCACACTGGGACGTGAGCAGAAGCCCTCCAGAGACCACACCATGTTCTCTCAGTCTGATGAATCCAGGCTACTGGCTAAGAAGATAAAAAGAGGCTTTATGCAGATCCTGCCACACATTAGCTTCATGAGGTGGGCTGCAACGTCATCTGCTGCTACTAAAACAAAGCTGGTTAACCACAGTGAGGCATCCACAAAACCAGAAAGCAGACAAACACCCTGGATTCTGCAGAGGCAATTAAATTGCATGCCCTGTAAGCTCTTGTTATTATAATCACTTTTGATATGAACTGTGAAACATCCACCTGGCTTTCATCCCTAACTCTGTCTGGTGTTTGAAGTTGAAGAAGAAGTGATGTTTATTCTGGGCTAAAAGACAGCTTTGTTCCAGACCAGATGTCTCATTCCCTGCACATATGTCAGCCCTGCAGGTGATATCACAGACTCAAGAAACAGCAAGTTTTGGAGCAATTTTCAAATAGCAATGCAGTGTCAAGGTATACTCAGACAAAATAATAAAGTGCCTTTTTCTGCCTCAGTCACAGCAAGTTTTGAGGGTTTTTATTCCCCAGACAGTGAGTTATATTGTGCTTTGTCTTCCATCACTATAACTGAGAATAACTCCACTTACTTCAGAAGGAGGTTTCACATCTATATGACTAAGAGTGAAATTTTAAACCAGCACATGGATATACTGGATGTTTGAAGGAGTTGGCTGGTTTAACACTTTAGTTCTTCAGGGACTGGCTTTAGATTTTCCTGTCTCTGATGCAGTGAAAGCAAATCCAGGCTTTCAATGAGTAATTTATGAATCTCGGATTTTGAGGGACAAGTTTTACTCCAGGGTTTCACATGAACATTATATCAACCAGATGTAAACAGCAGGAAGTGTCCTTATGTATTTAATCCAGCTGTTACATCACATAACACACCGGCTGATTTTCCCTTTCATCCATCACAAACAGTAACATCCTCCTTCTTGATTCTTTTTAAATCTATTTTTGGTATCTGTTATTTTTTTTTACAGCAACAGCTCACTGTCATTGCAAATATGGGTCCTCCTCAATTTGTGTTTCTTTACAAGTGGGTTAAGTTCAGATATTAAATTATGAAGAGTGCCCCAGCTGCTCCTGTCCTGGTTTCAGCTGGGCCAGCAAAAATCAGCACACTCCAAATACTTGTAGGTAAAACTTTGCTTCACCTTAAGCCGTATGACTGTCATAAAAGGGTAAATTATTATGGTCCAGATCTACGAAAGTGCCTAAAGAAGAACTTACCAGGCTTTTCAACACCAGAGAGCCATACTCCAAAACACTGCCTTATCCTACAAGGATAGGAAATCTTTTGGTGTGGCATTAAGTTACATCTTTCATATATACAAAGTGGTTCATCTGTCTTGGAAGTAAAGCATTGCTCCACATCCACAGGTGAGCAAATCCACCAGCCAAGCTTCCCTCTGACAGGTGGGAGCTCTGCACACTGTGCCACTATCACATCCAGCATGCTTCACTTGTGGGTACCTGGGGACACCTTGGGCCAATTTCTGCCACAGGTCCAGAAACAAACACATCAACTATACACAAGGCAACACTGGAGCTAGACCCATTAATAAGCAAGGAGAAAGGCACAAAGGTTGCCACACAGCACTGTAAAAACCTTTGGTTATGGATCTAAGGCACAGCATAAACCACAGTGCCCTTTTATAACTGTGTTGCTGGCCCTGTGTTAGATGGAAATTAAGATCTCTTTTTAAAAAGTTGCATCTTCAGAAGAACCATAACAGAATCAAATAGTCAAGAATAAATTCCCAATCTGTTTCACCCACCTCCAAACTTTAAAAGGTCAGAATTTCTTATTATCCTCTCTAAAGGGTCCTACTCCTGACACAGAGGAGTAAACTATTAATAGTAGGTAATAAATCCCAGTCACAAATAACTTTGATTGCTTTTGCTTTATTTTGTAATCTGCTTCCATAGTACCTAAGTGGAAAAAGCAGATAAAGTACTTTTTTTTTTTTTAAAGAAACCACAAATATAATTCATCTTCTTTAAGCATTTAAGGAACCAGTCTGCTTCTCATTTTTGTTTTAATTTTTTTGAGTTCTCTTCACTTTGTCTTTGCTTACCAGTTTCAGGGAGCACATGGTGTTTGACATGTTAAGCCAAGAAAAACTCACTCTGTGATGTCCAGCACACACATTCACAAGCCAAAATCGTGTCCACAGCCCAAGTTTAGGAAGAGTTTATTTTTTTGCTTCATACAAAATGTTTAAAGAGTATTTTACTTCACACATTGAAATTGGTAGAAACGTTGAAGTTTGAGTACAAACATACAACCTACAAGTAGTTCACTTTTCTGAAATATGTGTGTGGAGCTGGGGTATGCTAACAGCCAGCACAGAGCGGATTCTGCTGCCCCTGTTTCTCTTCTATGGAAAATGACGACATGTTCAGCCAAGCAATTATGTCCATAACTTTAACTTTTGACCTAAACTACATGAAAGAGAGGCAGCATAGCACAGTGAAGAGTAGACACATTAGTGCTGTCTTTAAGTTATATTACAGAGGATGACAGTAACACAACCATCAGAGGAATTAAGGATGGAAATACACCATGTTCAAAGTCCATAGATGGCTTGCATTTTGTGTGCAGGCCTGTATCACATTTTTACAGGTATCCTCTCTTCTGCTAATAAAATAAATTTCTGAGTATGAATTCTAATCCAGACCATTACCTTCATTCTGCTATGTAGTAACCATATGAGATTGCTCGTATGTGCATGTGCAGAAGTCTGCTGAATTAATGCACCTGCATAAGCAACTTGCTGTGCACCCACTGGATCATCTAATTGTGTGCCTGTCTATTTTTCTCTACATTGTGATCTTTGTTTGAAAATCATATATTTGAAATCACTGGGAAATTTTCTGCAGACAGCTACAGTTTCAGAAATTCGTAACTACTACCTAAGAGAAACACAGCAAAAGATTTGAATTACATTTAAGTGCTGGAAAGGAAACTTTTTGTTCTCCACTGTGGATTAACATATTGTATAATTCAAGAAATAAATGCATACAATTCCAGAGCTTCTAGTCATTCCTCATAATGCAAACAGTCTGCACACTCTGTCAACCAAGCTATTTCTTATTTCCAGGATTCCTTTTACAGTGCTACTTGCTCAAAAATTGATGAAAGATTACTTATAAAGGATAAGAGCGTTGGAGACAGAATGTTTTCTTGCAATTTTCTTCACACTTTCAGGTACTTTATTTTCCTGTTCTTACAGCTAAGAATGCCAAGATGCAGGATGAATGAATAAGAATACAACTTGATGCAGAAATATGAGGAGTGTTTCACAGAAAACATGGCACCCTATCAATCATCCAGTATACTCATCTCTTCCAGAAAACCTCATTCATTCATATCTTAATAAATAATCCTAAAATCAGCATTATATATCCTAAATCAGCACATGTTAAGATGAAACTATGCGCAATTACCCCATACTTAAGCTGTAGGTCTGTAGGTCACCTTTTTCCTTTATAACTTGATATACATCTATAATCAGAGGGAGGTCAAGCAGATCTGTACAGATTAGAACTTGCCTGAACACAGCCTCAGGTATTATACCACTTGTACAACAGCTATATGACTTTCCATGTGTAATTAACTATAGTGTTAGTGCTTAAAATTAGAGCTGTACTCATATATCCTTCATAAACTCACAAAGCTGTATGTGTAAATGGCTGACAGGTACAATTGCCATGACACCGGCAGGTGGTTCTCTTTCTGAACCTGGTACAATCCTGGTCTTCAAGTGACTGGTAATTAACCAAACAAGTCTCCCAGATGAAAGGTGAAATCCTAGCTGTACTGCAGCAATGCCAAACTCACATCAGGATGGCCAGGATTTCATTTGGAAAACCGCATTTACGTTCTTGAAAGAGAACATATTGAATTTCCTTCTTTAAAAAGATCATTTGCAGCACAAAATTTATGTACCAGGTACTACCCCATCCAGTAACCTTCCTGTGGTTACTTCCACTAAATATTTTTCAGACAAAAGCAAAAAGGTTTGAAAACAAACCTTTGTTTGTGATGACTGTGCAACTAAAACAAGAATCAACAGAACACAGGGAAATCAAGGTAGGGAAATGTTGGAAGAAAACCAGACAAATAATTGAGGTACCTGACTTTTCAGATGTGGTCTGTGCCACTGAAAGCCAGCCCAGATTTCTTATTAAATCAGTCAGATAGATAGAGGATATTGTTTCTCCCTGTGAACCTCAGAAAGCTCATAACTTTAAACCATCAAGGCTGCTACTAAAGACCCATAATCCAAATACATTAACCTATTACTCAAAGGTTGACTTAGGGAAGAGAGTAAAATCAAAGAAAGAAAACATAAAACTTGTCACATAAAACCTACAGCCTTCATCAGATGTATTTTACAAGGGTCCATTCACTGAGTGATTAAATTGTTTGGAACATTTGTGTTAAAAGTAAACTACAGATTGTCAAACTCTCTTAAATTTTCAGTAAATATACAGCATGATGTTTGTAGATGGGCATTTGAGTTACAGACCATAGAACATGTTTTTATCTAACTGTTACATGCTAGCTTCCCCTCCCCCCAACAAGAAGTCATGGGCAATTTGTCACAAAAAATTTTTTCTTGCCACATGATGCATACCTGACTATGTCTATTGTTAAATTTTGGTGGTGTGTAAATGGACTTACAAATAAAATGAATATGAAATGTGAGATTTCCTCCTCATTTTATGCATTTAGTATGTTTATTTTGGAAATTCCTATGAGTTGGGTAAACAATTAAAATATAAAATGCCAACAATCTGTAAACTGCATGAATCAAAATTATCTTTATTGCCTTAAGAGCAAATGAAAGGTAAGAATGAGTATCATCCTTGTTAGTACCAAGTAGTTCAAGAATCCAATTCTTCTCTTTGTCAGTTTTGGAAGAAGAAACAGATACCACCAAATGGAAACTGCAGTTCTTTTTTCTCTTCCACTAGAAATCAAGCTTCATATTACTTTGTCTGTCTCAGGTAAGCTCAGTAAAGAGCAAATATTTCTTTTCACTCGGTCTCTAGGTAACCATGAAAAAAAGCTGTACAGTTCACAGGGGAGCTGAGTTGTTCCAACTGCAAGGGAAGATATTTTGTGCCATCTCAAACCTGTAGTATATTATGGGCGAAAAAGTGATCTGGAGGCCAAAAACATGGGATGATTTTCTGTAACAAGCCTCTACAAAAGTTAACTCGGGGCCCATTAATGAAGAAGTATGAACTTCAGTGCAGGTTACCACAATTAGGGTATGGCTTTCTGTGCCTCCAAGAGGAAACCAAAACCTTCCACTTAACAATCAGAGTTCAGATCCAGTATTGCTGAAATAGCTAAGAGGCAGAAGAAAACATTCAACAATGCCTAAAGCAAACAAGAGGTCCTGGTTTGCTGTAGAAGGCACACATAGTCTATTACTTTCACAATGTTCTACTCAAGGCCAAAGCCTTACTTAGGCAAGTATGGAATCACACATACTCTTTTCCATATTTCCATATTTCCATCTCTTTCTAATATTTGTACCTTTTAATTCCAAACCTGGCATCAGTTCAGTGCTGATCAGGCAGCAATTAAACTATAGTCTAAAGTTACCATGAGAAAGAGAAGAGATTAAGAGAAAATGTAGAGTGTAAAGAAAACTGCTTGCTCTTACAGATGCAGGAAAGCCTTAAAAGTATTTCAAATGCTGGAGAACTTTAATAATGCCAAGATTTCTACAACTATGGTGTGGCATGGCACCCTTTCATTTGGGTGTAGTATAAACAGATAAAAGTGCTTATATGCTTGGAAGGTAAATAAGATGTATGGTACTCTGTACATCGACACAATGCCACCAATGCCTGAATAGGATTTATTTCACCAGGTCTTTGTTATCCAATAATCATCTACCTTAGCCACTTGAGGTTCCTCTTCTAGTCACCAAGAGAAAGTCTTGCTGTAGTGGGAGGTGATAAGCATTCGTCCTCCACCTACATTAGACAAAATAAGTTCAGTTGTTTTCTGGAGGTCCTTATTCTTCCTTGCTGACTTTGAGGGAAGCATGTTTTTCCAGAGTGTCTCTCTGTTGACAGTAAAGGGAGCTCAAATAATGAGCTGAGCTGGAGATGGCTGAGCCATATGAAGGCTCATCTTTCCCTGTGAGCCCTGTCCCCTATGCCTCACAGCAGAGCTGTGTTACTGACCAGCAACAGCTGCCCAAGAAAGTTCTAACGACATCCTTCTTCTAATGCACAAGTCGTTTGCTGGAAAAGTGCTACAACATCACAGGAAATGTTACCAATATTTGCCCAAATAGTTCTTTTTGCTGTAATTTTCAGTGCTGATTCCCAGGTAGCTTTTCTGCTGTAATATCTAGCCAGGAAAAAAGTTTCCTGTAGATTTCTCCTTGGTACCACATCCAGGCTTGCAGCCATTTTAAGGCAACTATCCTGCTCTTGATAAAATTGCTGAAGGAGCCAATTTTCCTGTTAGCAAGGGACTGAAAAATTTCAGAGAGGTGATGTAACAGTTTACAGTCAAATATTGGATTGTGTTTAAGTGCTGAAACTTAAGAAAATTGGTCTTATAATTATCTTCTGCTTTTCCAGATCCCAAGTATTTTATAATACATCTTTCTACAGGACTCTCACTAGGTCATACAAAACAGTTTCACACTCTGTACACTCAACTTTGAGCAGGGAACATGAACATCTGGTTTTTTGTTTAGTAGTCATCAAACCTGGCTTTTTATCTTTAAGAGAAAGACAGATTGGCTGCATCATAAAACAGAAAAGCAGTGTTATTGTGATCACAAATTTCATTGCTTCAATCTGCGCATATATTGTTTCATTTACTTTCAAATTTCACTGACAAACAATTCATTACTGCAAAAATCAAGCCATCTCTGTGAAACAATCTGCACTATTCAGTTTCATTGTGCAGCAGCTGGGAATGAAGGCAATTTAGATTGCTTAACAAATGGACAAATTCAATCAGTACAATAGCAGTAGAGCAATACTTCAAAAACCAACAATAACACACCAGTTGTAACTCTTACTATAAAGAAGGCATCTTAAAGGAAGCCAGAGCCAGGACAACAATCTGCTCAGGAGTTTTGATTCCCTTCAAGCAGAGCCCTTTTATAGTCTGTTCATTGCAAGAAGATATTGGCAGCTTATAAGTCTCAGCTTTGTGAAGTACTGCCTATCCCTGGTTTTCAGTGAAATCCGGATAGAGCTCATGGAGCAGTGTGGCTTCAAGTTTCCATTAACTGCAAACAAACGGGAGGCAAACAAATAGAGGCACTTGGTCTGCTGAGAAGAGCCAAAACATATTTCATTCTCCAGTAACCAGGAAGAATGGAAGAATATCTGCTAGATTGTGCAATTGCAGTCAAGAGGAGAAGCCACAGCAGGACAAATTGCAACCATTTCAGTTCAAAGACAGGACATGGCAATGGCAACATGTGGTAATGTAGCTGAAATCCAGCTGGGCCGATGTATGAAGCAGTGGCATCACAAATCAGTACCATTCAAATTGTAGTGACAGAAGTGATGTGATGAGAGGTAAAGGGAAGTGTAAACATAACCATATTTTGCCCTTTTACTTAAAAGATCAAATGTAAAAGTCAGTTCCCCAATTTGTACACAGTGTAAAGTCAAGCTCCAGGGTTTTGTCTTTTCAGCAGCTGCCTTCTGCTGATGTTCTTAATTATGGAAGGGATTCATGAGCGAGTTTTAGGTAAGTTTGGACTCGTTTTAAGTGGTTCATTAGCTGCGCTCATCCCTCACTATGAAATCCCACAGGATGAAGAAAATGGCTCTGCTAAATTTCAAAGGCATTAAAGATAACCCAGCCAGCCTAAGAGGCATTTTTCTTTCCAAAGAATAAAACAATGTTTTATCACTTTTGTTGCTGTGTAATATATGACAAAGCTGCAGACTGACTCTGATTGCAAGGATGGCTCTCAGGAGGTACACTTTTGCTTTACCAGGGGTATACTGAACCTGCATTACACAAAATATTGCATGAAGTTCTATAAAAAGGTATAGACTTTCTGGAAGAAAGGCCATCATCCAGGATAGATGCATAGAACTGTATGTAGCCTAAGCATTTATTACAGAAGAAATCTCTAAATCTCAGGCTATGAAAGCTCCTGGGCAGCTCTGCCATTAAGAGTACCAAGGCTAAGGTATACTACAGATGCTCTTGTTTCTCAAACTCAGAAAAAAGGGATCAGATGTTTGGCATCTCCAGCTCTGTCTGTACCAGCGAGTAACATTGGCCAGGGACCATGGGCCCTGAGGCTAACTGGCAGAGCACAACTTGCATCTGCATCAAGCTTCTTCCCTTGCTCATGCTGATGTTTTAGGAACAGTCCCTGACAGATTCTGTCATCCAGGATGTGCCTGGGCATTCCTCGTGGGACAGGTAGTTGGTGCATGCCAAAATCCATACCAGGGATTAGGCTAACATCCAGTTTTGCCAGTTGTCTGCCAGTGCTGGATCTTGTGCCCTAGTCCTGATTTATTTACTATTATCACCTTAGCTTCTATTTCTTACTACCAGCCCAATGACTTCAGATGCTGTTCTTTCCTCTAAATGGAATGGACCCTTTAGCAGCTGGAAGACAGAGATTACAGCAACCATGCCAGTGCTGTGACTAAATTAATATCACATCATGCCAGGGGGAGCAGGCATGATCTCCAAAAGCAGGAGGAGGCACCTGTGGCCTCAGCTGTAACACAACCACCAAGGTGCACAGCTGAGTCGTCTTGGTTTCAAATCCTCTCGTTGGACAGGGACAACCACAAGTATCTGGAAGTAATTTCAAAGTCCCTTCTCCTTTGGATGTTTATTTTTTTCAGACACTTATGCAAAGTGGTGACAGTGAAGGAGTCAGTACAGTGAGACTATCTGGGTCTTGCAGCTGTTACAGCACTGCTAACACATAGCAAGAATTCCCCCGCCACTGAATCATCACTATTTAAAATCAAACTTTTAAAGGAAAAACACACAAAACTTTCACTGAGAACAGAATCCCACCCCTCAAGCAAGGCACAAGCCATTGTTTAGTAAATAAGCAATCAAATTGTCAAATCAAACCATGGCTTAGCTGTATTTCTTGAGCACCCAAGACCATAAGTCAGAGCAAGTTAGAACCACTCACTAATTAAGATTTAAGCATTTCAGACTGCAATTACTTAAATAGGGGGATCACACTTCTCTCCTCATAGTAGCTTGTCACAGCAATTAGTTTAGAACTGCAAAAATACAGACATTTTTCCTCCTTATGCCCTGGGGAGTTCCCAGCAGTTAATGTCTGCAGTTAGTACAGCACAACCACTGGATGGAAGGTAACTTGTACCAACAGCTAGAGACAAGCCTGAAGGGAGCAGAGCAGATAGGTCCCATCTGAAAAATCCTGAGCCCAGCACCTGCCCTTTGCTCATTGGACTGGGTTAGTGCACACTGGGCAGGCTAAGTGCCACACAGCACTGATTCAATAGGTTTTATTTTCCTGCATGTAAATGCAACTACAGTCCTGCACACAGCAGTTTGTGACCATATGATTTTATCCCATTCATCATTGAAAAAGAAGATATTTCATAGATCTTCAGAGCTGCGTGGGAAGCTGGCTGAATATATGTGAATGCTGCTGATCATCTCACTAGCTGCTCAACACAAGATAGAGCCCATGGGCA